GGCGTATAGTGGTTTGCATAGGCTCAGACTTTAGCGTAGGTGTGGGGAAAGCCTCAGTTCAGTACGGAAATAGCATTGATCACAGTTCCTTCTCCCCTTAGATCGAGTACTTACCTCAAGGATGGCAGTGATCCGCTCGCCTGCTTCTGAGATCTCGCTGTACCGCTTGCAGGCACGTTCTTCCCTGTCCTCCAGAGCCAGCAGGGCCTCTCGTTTGCCCTCTTTGCGTTCAAAGAGGGGACATTTGTTCCACGTGGACATCAGCGCGGAGATCTTTTTCACATTCTCCTGACCCTGCACTACTCTCGCCTTCAGGTCCTTGACGAGATCTCGTGTGGACTCAATATACTTCCAGGTGTCTGCAAAGAAGGCAGTTATGACTGTCGTCAATAGGAAACTAAAGCTGGGGGAGTACTATGCAAATCAAGGAGATAAATTGTGCTCCTTGCAATGTTTTGATTCTCACCAGCCAGTCAATTTCAGTCTAGAGAATGTAGTGCAAATGCAAGGGCTTAGTGACAGAGAGCAATCCGCAAAGAAAAGAAGAAGACTGGTTGAGCGACGGAACAATTTGTCTGTTATGCTTAGCTTGCGAACGCCGTGCAGGAGAACATCGTCGGCGATAGTAGCGGCAACAGAAAAAAAGCAAAACTTATAGAACGTGCAAACCAATCAATGACGCAAGTACGAGGAAAGACTGCGTGGAGCGCTACTTGCCGGCGACAGATCGATAAGTCGATTGATTGAATCCTCACCCGCGGACCAGGTTTCAATCAATGCTTGACTGGAATTGGTACAGGTGAGACGAAAATTAATTGAAGCCTGTTTCTCGGATGGGGACCCAATCGACTGACACATCAATCAGCCGCCGGCAAACACCGCTCCGCGCAGTCAACTCCAGACTTTTGACCTTGATCACAGATAGGCTTGTCCCCTTTCTATAAGTGTTGATGTTGGGACGCCCCGGACGGGAGTTATAACTCGGGCAATCCTGAGGGTACCAGAACAAAGAGACCTTACTGGCGACCGCTTCAAGCAAGTGACCTTCAAAGGGCGGACATAAGACCAGGACAAAGGAGGCACGCACAAGCGAGACTGCTCGGGAGCCGGATTGCTGCTATCGTGAGGTCACGCTGAGGACACATGCACATGCGCGCGTAAGCGAGCGCGGCACGGCCACTCTAGGAGAGCCAATAGGGAACAATGACTACTGACCTTAAATATGCTACCACCGCTGAAGGCAGCACATTATTGCTGGAGACGCTGCCGACGACCCAATATACTGCTGCTAGCGACCCGGGACACGGCTGCTAGAGACATGGAACGCTGTTGGCCGAGACGACGACAGAACACAAGCCGCTGATGGACACCGAAGACAAGCTGCTGTACACACAAGAAACAGAGCTGATGTACTAGTAGAACTGACAGTTAAGTACTATCTACTATCCTGTTCTGCCTTCTTTTCCTAACACGTAACTGAAGGACATAACCGGTGTTGACACAGGAACACACTCGTTTATAACAGTTGATTTTCCGTTGCTGGCTCTACCTTATAAAGATGGACTCCTGCACGATTTTGCGAGCTAAAAGTGGTAAAAAAAACTGTTCCGGTGCTCGACAAGCCTTCATTTTCCCCGTAATGAACTCCTAGTAATCGAAACTTCTCATTCATTCGAGTGTAATCTTTGTCAGGGGAGGAACGCAGAGACAACGGCAGTAAGGTTACATCGGAATGCGCCGGAGTATTCTTCCTCGATCCAGACCGTTGGGGGGGATAGCTTTCTACAGAGGTGGCTAGCGAGCAAAATGAAGTTAAACGCAATTCAGACGACCAACAGGATCACTGTTAGATAGCATAAGACACAGCAACTGCGACTGTAGGCAAATCTGCAATGTCTGTACGGTCTTCTGAACAGTTCTATGTCTGTCAGATAGAAGAACCGGATCCAACTGAAGTTCAATCAAAAGTCCGGCTCTGTCTGCGTTGGGCAGCCTATCAATTGATAATAAGCCATAGATACCTTGTGGCGGACAGCCACAAGGCTTCTCCTTCCTTCGTTCTCCGAATCCCGCTGCCCCAACGGCATGTGCCTTCATAAGCGCCTGTTCCACTTGGTGACCTAAAGACTACTTGACCGACCTCCAATCACAGACAAACGTGTGCACACACGCACGCACACGCGTGCCCAAGTAGTCGCGGCTCCCTAAGGAA